CTTTCTGATCACATTTTATATACTTTTGTGTCTTTACCTTTAAATTTATTTTACTCTTACTCTTTTAGATTTATTTTAAAGTTTCGGTTTAAACCAGCATTTCTTATCGGATGTGTTTGCTATATGCACGTTTTATCCAATCTTATATATCAAGTGCGGTTAGTGAACCCATAATTACGTCCATCATCGTATTATATTATTTCGCGGAAAAATGTCAATATTGAGATAAAACTCATAACCTCAATCATCACAGTTTATCATGTTTACTTATATAATGATAAACTATAATAATATTCAAATAATTCGTTTGTATAGCTAAACATTTCGTTAGCTAAAGCCCATTAGCCCTCAAAACGATTCACATTAGTGATTAAACTCACTTCATTTATAAAAATTCAGCTTTGCTTGACCAACTACCCCCGCGTTTTTCACATAACATTCAATATGGGCTCTACTAAAATACAAAAATATTAATAAATTTAAGATTCCATATTCTATTTTTTAAATGTATAGTTATAAATCCTATTCCGGCCCAATTAGGGTCTCCTAGACACCTACTTCGAAACAATTATCGATCATGGAAGTATTAAAAAAATTTTTAAAAAGATAATAATACTATTTATAAGTTTTGTTTTTATTAATGCTGTTAATAAAATTTAGAAACTCCTACAATTTTTGTTATTGTTTCAAAAATTCAATCCATATTTTTACGGTTGGTTCAGACAAGAATGATAGAATATAAAATTATACCATTGGGCAATTTCTGTGACGTCACCTGTGAATGCATTTCTATTAGATATAAATTTCCAATTACTCTTTTTAAATTTGCTCGACAATATCACACTCCACCTTTGTCTGACAAGAAATTACTAAAAACAATTCAATTAATCTGAAATCCAAGTAATAATAATATTCATTCCTTATGAATTAGGCAGATAGTGTTAAAAAAAAAATATTTTCTTTTATTTCTAATCAAAGGAATGAAGCTTGTAGATGGAGTTAGGGAAAGAATTGAGGCGATAGCTGAGGGGTTAAGCTTTGGGCTTGCCACTTTTGACAATGGGGCGGCAAACTTTCGCTTTGGAGAAGGATTTAAAAGGTTAGGGGAAGCAGCCAGTGTTATACGCATGATTGGAAACCATGACGCACTTATCAATGAATAGGGGTGACATATGCTGCATGACATAAATTGACATGCAGTCAGTTCCAGTTAGTAGTAAAAAACTCTAGTAGGTGGAAAGTATGTGTGGTCCAAGTGTGACACTTGAACACACTAAAACCAGCTCTTAGGAATAATTATGGAAAATTGCAACCACGTTCAGCGATTGCAAATCCCATTCCAGTAATTAAGAGCAGTGAGGAAAGCAGATAGCTTTAATATTTCGCGAGCTAAAGTCATCTAAGCCAGAATACATGGACTAAATTATATGGGGAAGGTATTTCTGCAAAGTGAGTGGTTTAGATTAAGATTTGCTGAGAGTCTAACTAGATACATCTCTACATTTAGCTAGGTTACGTTGGCACTTAAGAAAACAGTTCGCAGATCTTTTATCTTGAGACCAATTCAAAGGCTTGGATGAGGAAGTTCTTGCGGTCTTCCTTTGTCGGCAAAGGTGAAGGCAGACATTAAATCGGGTTGAGGTGCTGGTCGCGAATTGAAGTTTTTGTCGGGACGTGGGTAGCCATTACTTGCTGCGGTGGGATGGATTGTGGTACGGACTCAACCATTGAGAAATAAGAGATGCCGTGTAAGGTAGAACACTACTCCAACAAGTGCTAAATCCTTTAATTAACAAAAGCAGAAACGTTAATAAATTATTTGAAACTTCAAATAGAAAGTATTGCATTTTATAAAATAGAACTACCAAAAAGTGAGCAATTATAAACGAAGTATTCTTTTGAAGTAAGCATAAAATTAAAATTATTTTGTTAATAATATTATTAATATTTCCCCTAAAAATATTCTATATATTTATTTTCTTATTAAAAAACATAAAAATATATTTAGGAGATCTTATATGTATTTCAAAGGAAAAATTTTATTGTATCGCTATTTTTGGTAGGTTTTGAATAAAAATTTAAATGGGTTTAATAAGTCCTTTTATTTGGTAAACACGTCTGAAATGAACATTTGTCCAAAAATTGATATTATTAATAATTTAAGTATATTAAGCAATGAGATGATTGTAACCTATCAACTAATCCGTTACAGTACCACGTATACCCTAAAGCCGTGAGTGTCATAGTCTGTGGCAGTGGATTATTAAGGGCAGAGCAAATAGATTCCCTCTATCTGTTTGGAAGTTTCAGCAATCCTTATTTACAAAGAGATTCAAATAACTTACATAAAATCAATATTTTTTACGAATATTAAAATCCTTCGCGTTAATAATTTATAAATATAATATGAAGATATATTAGGTGATATAAAATGTATCAGTTTTTTGGTGCATTTTTGAACAAAAAAAAATTTTTTTTTTAGTTATTTTTAATACAATTAATATTATTAGTTATCACCTTTTGCCAGTTTTTAGCTTATTAAGATAGATTTATTTTGATTTGGCAATAAACTTGGCCAAATGATTTGCAACTACTCTTTGGTTAGTCAATTTTTACCATTGTTTTTACCGAAACAAATGGTAGATAAAACTTTCCAACCAAGCTCAATTAATTTGTTTCGGGTCAACAAAGTTGCATTTGGCCTGGTATTGTCATGATGGAACACAACTCCTTTTCTATTATTTAGATATATCGCTCATTTTCATATCAGTATAACTTTTTACAAGAGCGACTATGAGTGACAAAAATGGTGAATACTTTTATATTACCGAATAATTTGCTGATTAAAAAAAAATATATCTTATTACAATTTAAAAAATAAAAAATGCATAGCTATTTAAATGAACTGGCTTCTTTAATATTAAGGTTTTTTTAATGGATTTTTTTTTTCAGGTACCTCTATATAAATGCATTGCACCAAAGCCTTCAAGATATCTATTTTTCAATTTTGTTAAGAAAAACTAATTACTTAGAGTTTAGAGTATGAAGAGGAGTAACCAATTCGACAGAACAATAATGAATTTTAGTTGTGATAATTTCCAAGATGTTTTCAAATACATTAAGTTTTCAGTGTATAGATTAAGTTTGGCTCTATTGTTGTGCAACCTCTTTCCAATCACGCAAATAGCAAAACGCCCAAAGATAGTTGCCATACCCTTCTCGATTTACAACATTGTCTTTATTTTCTTTACAACTTGAATTCCTTATTTTTTTCCGATACGGACCACATATGTTACCCTTATTTTTGAGATTATACAAATATACAAACAATACAATATTCTGTTCGTATTTGAGTTGTATACGAAATATACCTCCGTATGTGGTACGGAACGCATTTGATATTCTGAACTTCTGAACTTCACTTTCTTAATATAAATCCAGATCAAATAAATCCAGATTATTGATTTGATTATCAGGACGTAAGCATTTTGTTGTTGTTTTCAAAATTTAAGTATCACAGTATCAAATATTTCCGATTATTTGCAAATATCCATCATCAGTGGTTTTGTAATTATTTCTTATGTATAATTATTCGTAAATAATTATATTTCTTATATTTTATTATTCGTAAATAATTAAATATAAAAAATAATTCCAAGACCACTGATGATGGGTATTTGGCAAAACTTAATAGTTTTAAACTTATTAATAGAATAATAAATTTTTATTATTGTAATTTATGCTGTTCGAAATATCACTCTATTAAACACAATAGTTTATATTACGAATTTAGTTTCTTCCGTCAAAATGGACGTTAAAAATCAATATAATATTCGATTGACAGCTAATATTTTAAACTTATAAAAACATCAAATTCATTTTTATATAGTTTTTATTATATATTTTTTACTATTTATTTTGTTTTACTTCGTTTGAAATATAAAATTAATTTATTTTTGAAATTTACTTATATTTCGTTACTAAACATAAATATTATTTAACACTCAGGTAGTTTAAAAAATGTGTACATTTTGTATAAATATTTTTTTTTGTTTATATTAAAATTATATATAAATTTAATAGCAATATTTACTTTATGAAAGAAAATAAATGCAGTAATAACTTTATGCGATTAAACAAAATACTTATGGCAACTGCGACAATATTTTTAGTTTTACTAAAAAAAGTTTATATACTATAGATTTTGTTTAAAAAATTTCGATATAATCAAGTAAAATATAAATAAAATATTTCAATTTGGAATAGATGTTTTCTTATTAAATTCTATTAAACTTGAACTATGTTTATATGATATATGTGTAATTAAATGCATTTACTCTATTTTAAAACACAAAATAAAATATGTACTTTCTAATTTTATGCAACAAATTTATAAATTGCACTAAAATAATATGAATAGTGCTCATTACACAACAATTTTATAAATTCTTTTCTTTTTATAGTTAACATTAAATAATATAGATTTAAAATTTTTCTAAAATAATTTGAGCTAATATTTTTTATTTGTTTTGTGATAAACTCTATACATACAATAAACAAAATCATATATGCGTATTGTACTTTATAACAAATTAAAGCTTTTTTACCTTAAAAAAACATATGGAAATATGCTCTAAAAATTTGCTATTATTAAAAGCAAGTTTGTGATTGAAAAATATAGTATTAGTTTAATTAGATATTAAAACAATAATTAAATTTATTTTCATTTAAATGAATAAAGGTTCATTTCTTTTTTATTTTAGTGACTACAACATTGAAGTCTAATATAATACGTTATCATTATAAAAATTCATATAGTTTATATGCTTTTTACTTAAAAATACAATAAACATAAAATTTCAGTTTACAAATTGACTAGCAAAATTTTATAGAAGATTGTTTCATACAAAACAAAATTTAAAACTTCAAACTACATACATATGTATAATATATACATATATATAAACATATAATATTATGAATAAAAAAAACTTTTTTTTTGCAATTTTTGCAATTTTTTGCATTTTTCAACATTTTTACAACACATGACATACATAAATGTTAAAAGTATCTGTTTCGCCAACTTTTAAATAGTGCTGGTTCCACGCCTAAGCTACTCACATACAAGAGTACATATACAGACTATATAATTCACATAGTTGAGGGTATAAAACGTGTGGAAATTTGCGTCTCTTAGTTAACTAATATTCGTAAGCTATATTCGTTAGTGTATAAGTCTATGCATTTCAATCATTATTTTACTTTCAGGTCCTATTCTTTGACACTGAAAATGAGTACGAAATAATGCGGATGTAGTTACAGATATGGATATCTGCACAAACTTCAATCGAAAATGCATGCAAATACTGCTAAACAGTTGAGACCAAAATTCTCACAGCAACTTTCTTCACCAGAGGATGAGACTTTTTCCGCACGGCGCATCTTTTTTGGATAGTTTTTCGGGTTGCTACGATCACTGAGATGAATGGGCATTTTGGCAAAATCAGGACGTGCTGTACGAAACTTCTCCAATAATTGCTTTTGTTCATTGGTTAGGTTTTTTAGTTTTTTACCTATGGAAAAATAATAATAAATATTATTAAATTCATACATTTAAACATAAATAAATTTAATAAGTAAATTTTAATAAGTAAAAAAACTATTTAATATGTGTTCAACTATATCTCAAACAAACAATACAAAAACTGATTAAAAAGTTCGTTTTTATTAATTGTTTATCGTTTAGAAGCAGTTTTTAGCAGCAAAGCTTTCTAACTGATTAAGAAATAAAAAAAATATCTAACTACAGTTACAAGTTCATCATACATATTTTAAATAAAATAATCTATAAAGATTTCTATCCTATGCGATACACATTATCATTATAGTTCAGTTAAAAAAATCTCTAAATATAGTCTCCTCTTTTAGCCCACAAAGTGAATTGTCATTGATTGATTATAGATAAATTAATACGAGTACACTAAATAAACAAAGAAATATTCTTCACAACCAGCGCTAATGGACAATAAATGACGATACCCCAAGAATATCACCGCCTTGATCACCTCATGCTTTTGGAACTATGATTCCAAAAGCATGAGGAATAGTTTTTGCTAAAAATAAGCGATTAAGTAAACAATCTTCAACCTATTTAACCAGGAATACCCTAAAAAAATGTTGGGGGAACTATACGTTACACTGCTGGACCACTCTCAATACAGAGCACATATATTTGAAAACTGTAATAATGGTTCAGTACTATGTCCATACAAATACAGCGCAACGTCGCCAAAATTAGCACCCAGTCTAACATTTGACGTGTAAAAAAATGAGACTAGATTGATGTTAATCACTTTCATTCTCTGAAATAAAATCTATTCCTTCCTCCTAAAACTTTTTCACATTACCAGATACATCAAACTGACCAAGCAAAATACCCAGGAATTTTGTTTCATCAGCGTTTTAAGTGACGTTTTCATTTATTTCCAAATATATGTTTTTAAATGAGACACTACATCGTTTATTAAAAGTTATATTTCAGATTATATAAAGGAATGTGACATATTAGTCACAGATATCATAACCGACAATATATATACAAGAGTCCTCAACCCCTAAATTAACCAGCAGTTAAATAGTTTTGATTATTTGTTTAATTCAATTGTCACAACATACCTTCAATTGCATCATCGACAAGTGTTATCTCAGTAGGATCTAATAGTTCAACACGTTCACAAGCTCTACGAAATTCATTTGAACTCATTAATAAATATCGTGGAGCATAACATAATGGACCCAAGACACGCCTTCGATTTTCTGCCGTTGGTTCCAATTTTTTTCGTCTACACTCAGCAATACTCCAGTCAGACAAGCATCTGAATAGTACAAGTTCAGAGCTCAGTTGCAGTGAATCACGTTTTACAATCGTTTCCAATTCTTCGAAACGCAGTTCAGTCATTTGCTGTTCTGTTAACACAGATTCTGCTTGCATATCAATCAACTGCAGAGTATTACTTAGTAGTGCCGCACAAAATTCCTCAGCTGTAAAAGGGTTAGAATGCGAGTTAGCTGTTGAGCTTTGATTGTCAGTTCGTCCCTTGTGTTTCTGTTTTTTAGCTAACAGTGCATCTTGTGAAGTGATAACTGAATCCAATTGATTTTGACTGGCAGGCATTAAATGCTGATAATACCACAATGCACGAAATACATCGACGACTGTAATGCTACTTAAAAGTAAATCAAGTTCACGTATGCAGTGTATTATCTGTAAGAAATATAGATTATTAAATTATTTTTATTAATTTTTAAGCATATATGATCGCAGGTTAACTCACCAAATCTGGACAATTAAAGCGGGCAGCTAATTCGAGTATTTTAAGTATATGCAGATGATCACTATATTTTACGAATTTCGTTTCAAGAAATCTTATGACTAGTTCAAAATCGTTTTTATCCACATTTGATATTTGAAAATGATTATCACCTTTACGTCCACTGTTCGGTCCGGCGTGTATGAGTTTGGCTAATTCCACACTATTTTCAAGTACAGCCTTTCTCTCGCATCGTATCATGTACCGATCATCACCGTTTACAACAATAAAATCAATATATGGGCTCGGTATAATCGGTATGACGGTGGATACATTTGTTTGTCCAGGCATTAGAAAAGCAGGAGGTGCTGTTGGTACCATGATTGTTGTTTGGCCACCCGTGTGTTGGCCGTCAGCTCCGAGACCGAATGGCAAAACCATATCCTCCTGCTTACTTTGTTTTTTAGACTGAATGTTGTATTTTTGTTAAAAAATTCGTGGCACTTAAAGTTTCGATATTGCCGCTGTTTTCTTCTTTTTTTTTTTGTATCTGCAGTTATATTAGTTGTTAGGTGTAAATTAATATTGGGCAGTGATTTTCGTTGAGTCTGTAATTAAGACATTAAAGAAATTGTTAAAAATATATTTATTTTTTCATTTCAAAGACTTTGACATTATATAGAAATATCTTATAATTTCCAAATTGCTTTGTTAAAAATAAAATCTATATGAAGAAGAATATTAAACAATAAAAATGTGAACCAATTTAATTTACACAATTAAATTTGTTGGCTATATCTTAATAGGATACTGTAAACTAAAACACCAGAGTAGGCATATATATGAGAGTACGAGAGTAGGCATATATATATCGATGCAAACTGTAGATTATGCGAAGAGAATGAAGAGTCAGTCACATATATGTTGTTAGAATGCTCTGCGCTAATGTATACATGTAATAGACTTCTGCGAATGTATATTCTTACGGAAAACTCTGTAAAGTAGGTTCTATACTACTTTTTATTGACTCTACAGGACTTAAGACTTGAAGCCCAGAAGTGGGCACACCCGGTGGTCGCCAATGTTTTACCGTTTATTACCATCCTATCTAGTTGAATATGTATTATATTTTGATTTATATTTTTTATTCTAAACTAATAAACCAATAAATAAATAATGAAAAATTTTACAAATTATAATGACCACAAGACACATAATTTCAGATTTGATGAATATATTCCTAGAGTTGTGTCAATTTAGCAATATTCCAACATTGTTCTTAATTCCATCTCTACCCATCTCTATACTATCTATTATCTATATATCTTTAATGACAATCCTCTTTTAAGAGTTCCCGAAATTTTAATTTCAAACTATCTTTCAATAACCAATATAGGTTATATTTTTTCTTGTTTAAGTCCTATAGGATTTCTTGTCCTACAGAACTTAAACACTCGATGGTCGCAATATCACATCTCCTCTTAATAATAAATAAACTGAATAATTGTAATAAATAAATTATTATAAATCCTAAAAGTGTTCTTTAATTTTAGACCAACTGTCTAAAGCTCTATTTCAGAATATATATTTATAAATTATTATTAGAATATATCAAATTTTGATTGTCTAATTTTAGTTATACCACATTATGTTTCATTTTTTTTGTTTGTTATTAGAATCATTAATAGCTTATAACTGTTCTGTCATTAAACCTTTATTACTATAATCTATTTGTATGCTTTGCACTCGATCTTCCAATGCTGGGTTTTTATCTTCAGACAGTTGGTGACAGTGTCTTACACTGTCTATTTCATTGTAATTGGGTTATTATTAAGAGCATTAAGCAGACCAATGGTTTTTTTTTGGTTAATATTAAAAATTGATCCTCTGCGCAAAACATTAGGTGGCTAAGGTTTTAGTAAATTGTAATCCCTGTGGATTTAATATTAAAAATGGATGGTTTGTGTAGATTATCAAAGGGTTGAAGCTTTTTTAAAATCTGATTTAAATTATTTAAAATATTTTTTCAAATATATCATGGATATTTATTTATGACTAATCTAAATATTTGCTCGTAGACAAATTTATTAATAAAAAAGATCTTTAAGATAGAGTAACCATTTCGAATTTAAATGTTAAATATAAAATTAGTTTTAAATAAAGTTATTATAATGTTCAAAAAGTTTTATATCTATCTATGTATCTATTATGATATTAACATCAATTATATGTGCTAATCTATATATTTAGTAACACAATTATAAAATTTTAAAATTCTGGGAAAAAAACAACAAATCATTTATAGAGTATTTTATTTTTTATTTATAATTGGTCACGTGCAGAAACCTGTTATCAGTATTAAGTACAAATGATTCACCACGCCTATGAGGCAGTTATTAGAACTGACCCATAAATGCAATTTGATTGTCTTATCAAATCAATTTGTATTAGTTAGAAATATATACAATATATTATGATCGCAATTCATTGATATTATATCTTAAAAATTAAAGATTATATTGTGGATTCTAAGAAGTTCGTTTAATCGCAAAGTTTTTCTATAACTGCAATTTGTTTTCATTTTAGCTAATCTTTATAGCAAAGTAAGAGGTGAAAGTAATATGTGAATTATAAAAAACTATTACTTAAATTATTATTAAAAAAAAAAAAAAAATAATCATCTTCAGATGACTGAAATTTTAATTATAACTCTTATTCTACAGTTTATATGTAAATATGTATAGTACACTTTTTATTAATATTCCTCAAAACATTTTAGTTAAATAATTTTCAATCATTTGAGTATTTATAAATATTTGCAAGCATTTATTTATAATTAAAAACTTTTAAAATATTCGTCATTATTTAGTATTGTCGTGTTTATTTAATTAAACACATAGGAAAGAAATTGTAAGAGAAATACCTATATGATAACTTTAGGAATATTTTTTTATTTAAACAGTTGTAAAATCATAATTAAGAGTATGCGGTTTTAAACACGACACATTTTACGATAATTTTTTTTTATTTTGTTTTCAAATAAAATAATAAATCAAATTGTATAAAAAATTATCACATCAAATTGTAGAAAGAAAAATAATATACGATAATAAATAAAAATAAAATATATATATTCTAACACTGATTTTGTAAAAAATATGCTTTTAGGAAGTAAAATTTTAAAACACAAACTGAAATATCACTATATAATTTTGCATATACTGTAAACAAATAATTTTTGTTTATTTGTATATAAAAAAGTTCAAAAATTTATTAAAGATTCTATTAAGATAGCCAAACAGTAATTTTATTGCCTTACACTCTCTCTACATTATAACAAAAGTTATAATCGCATATCTGAACAAGATTAATAAGTATATAATAGAAAAACTTTTACATGGTTACTTAACCATATCTAAAGACATTCACTTACCAAAAATTAAATGTATAGCTAAGCTATTATCAATAAAAAAGCATCGACTAGATTGACTGACTAGTAGCCAATCTAATACTAGAATACTACGGTAATATGAATAAGACAAGCTAATCAGTGATGTTATCTGCTTTGCAATTAAATATTGCTTAATAGAAAAAAAGATTTAACAAAGAAACTTTTGGATCGATAGTAGAAAAACTATTAAGTGATAATCTTAATCTTAAGCGGGATAATTCCACACTATTTTCAAGTACAGCCTTTCTCTCGCATAGTATCATATACCGATCATCACCGTTTATAACAATTAAATCAATGTATGGGCTCGATGTTACGCGGGATATATATCCTGGAAAATCTTTTTCTTAAAAACTATATCACACTATTAAAAATAAATTCTTATTTCAGAAATGCACTCTCACTTTAATTCAGAAAGTTAGAAAAGAAGTTCAAAGATTTTGAATAATTTTTAAGAAGCGGAATCCAATTTCCCAGAACCATTCTGTGTTTTAGGCAAAGAAACTCTATCCATTCTTATGAAGGGCGCAGAGGAAAAAGAAAGAAATCTCTATTGGAAAAGGCTACACAAGACTATCACAATTTAAAATGCTTTTAGGGACTTACAACATAAAATTCTAAGAATAATTGCGGGATTATTGACCGGTCACTCTAGATTGAATAATCACTTATCAAAGTTAGGATATCAATTCAACTCAGACTGCAGATACTGTAGAGAAGAGAAAGAAACTACCATGTGCTTGGGGAGTGCCCGGCACTGATGCGCAAGCGGAATAAACACCTAGGAGGGTATTTCATGGATCATAAGGATCCAAAATAAGGCAAGATAGGCTCTTCTGTCTTTCATGAAAGAAATCGGACTTGGAGAAACACTCTAATCCAACTTAGGGGCACAATTTAAGGTCGCAGTGCACTATTCCTAATAATAATATATAAATTAAATTTATTAGTATTGGTACAATTGCCAATTGAATATAAAAATTCTATAACATAAAAATTATATATTGTACTATTAGTCATGCGTTGTTTATAAGATTTTAGTTTCATTTATAATGAATAATAAATTCGATTAAAATAAATTCAAAAATATTTTATATTGTAACGCTTAACAATAACACAACTTATTTAAAAATTTATTTATTTAAAATTTATTGCGAACATTGAAAACTTTAATAAAACTATATTTACAAGCAGCAGAAAAAAATTTATTCTGCGCATAAATTTTATAAATTTTTTACCGGTTATTACCATCTTATCTAGTTGAATATGTATTATATTTTGATTTATATATTTTTTTTTTCTAAACTTAAGAACGCAAAATGCACGCTTCAATAACAAAAAATATAGGAAATTTTTATGAAGATAGAAATTTTTAAAAATTCTGTTATGCAAACAACATTAAAAAACTATGAAAAATTTTACAAATTATAATAAGTACCAAATATATAATCATCAAGTTTTAAATGTACCTCAGATGTGATGAATATCTTCCTAGAGTCAAATCCATTAAGCAATATCCCGACATTGTTCTTAATTAAATCTCTACCCATATCCATCCTATCTATTCCATCTCTACCCATATTCATCCTATCTATTTCATCTCTACCCATCTCTATACTATTTATTATCTACATATCTTTAATGACAATCCACTTTTAAGAGTTCCCGAAATTTCGCTTTCGAACATCTCCTATTGCTATCTTTTAATAACTAATATAGTTTATATTTTTTCTTTAAAGGATTTCTTGTCCTACTTTCTATAAGTTCATCTAACTCAGATTGTAATATGCACTGTAAAAACTTTTTTCTTGAGAGGTATATATGTTACTTTGAAACAACCTTCTCTCATATAAAGTAACCCTCTTTGTCTAATTTTTAGACATTGACCATTTCGTCATCTCGTATATTCCTATCGATTAATGTATAGTCTTATATATTCGCAGCTCAGTTTTTTTAAGAACAATTTATGAACATAAGTGGTCATTTAAGACCATAGATACTTGCGTTGAATTATATCTTTTATATCCTTATATCTTAAACAGAGTTGGTAGGTTTTAGCGAATAGCACATTAAAGTATCTAAAGGTTTTCCTACAAAGGTTGTATAGTCTATGTAATGGATATAGTAATGATGATACAATGATATTATAAACATATATTTTATTCTCTCAATATTTATTTATATACTATAATATGAGATATTTAATTTTCTGAAAGGAGTCATGATTGTTGCTTGCCACCAATGTTAGATTACGGGATTAATTATTCGAGTCTTTATTATTTATTAATTAAAAAATATGGATAGTACAATTGGAATCCAAGATTTTTGACCACAATGCAGTCACATCTACGTCAATGAATTTTATTTTTAGGCATATCGCTTTAAATTACTAATTGTACCATGTTTTTTATTTAAAAAAAAAATTCTTAAAAAATAATTTAATTATACGACTTATCGTATTTAGTTCCATGAGGATTTTACAAAACAACCAAAACTTTAAAAACATAGCAATTAGTTTAATCCTGTTAACAAAATTGAAATTTTATATGTGAAGTTACTTATCTTGTCATAAGCCAATAATAATTATTTTTATCTAAAAACAAAAGAAACTCGCAAATAAAATGAATTTATTGCTGTGTAAATTTTTTCTTTGAAACAGGAAAATTGCGGTAAAAATTAATATTAATAAGACACATGTGATATTGGTAACAAAATCAAATAAATTAAGCCCATTTGATCACCCTACGAATGGTTAGCAAAAATATATTAAGTTTAAGCATTGTTTTGTGACTTGTTTGATATACATTAAGACTGAAAAGTTTTCGGAAATTCTCATTTAAAATTCGCGCGCTGTATATTTTTCGATATTTTAAGTTTATGTAGTTTGGCAGCACTGTCCTTAATTACTATGCCAAAAATGAGCTCGATCTGTCAGACAGTTCGTTTACGGCAGCTGTTGAAACCAGTTCACCTCAGTAGTGCGTTGCGAAATGTCTTCGACGGTCGTACGACCGTCCTGGAAGGCTTTGTACCACTCATAAACTTGAGTTTTCGATAAAACTGATTCCCCATAAGCCTTTTGTAGCATTCGCAACGATTCTGCACACGAAATTTCGTTCGAAACACAAAATTTGATGCAAACTCTTTGTTCAATATTTTTTTCCATTGTTTTTTTCGCAACGCCCTACTGAGGTGAACTGGTTTCAACAGCTGCCGTAAACGAACTGTCTGACAGATCGCGCTCATTTTTGGCATAGTAATTAAGGACAGTGCTGCCAAACTACATAAACTTAAAATATCGAAAAATATACAGCGCGCGAATTTTAAATGAGAATTTCCGAAAACTTTTCGGTCTTAATGTATGGTATATCATACTTATACAGTACTTATAGCAAGGGTATAAATAATTTAATAAAAAAATAATAGTGAAATAAAATAAAATTATTGGGGAGAATATATAATATATATTATATATATATATTATAATATATATAATATCACTTATATTATTAATAAATATTTTTAAATTAAATATATATAAATATTATATAAAAAGGTTTTTATTTTATATTATACTCGTAAGTTAATTTAGATATTAAATTTTAGAACCGAACCAAAAGCTTTGATAGTAAATTATATTTTATATTCATATTTGTTAATATTTTTATATATGTTAATACATATATATAAAAATTAAAAATCTTGTAGAATAAATTTTTAATGAAAGCTTAATTTTAATTAATTCACTTTGTTTTTTAACTTAAAATTCATTTTTTATTTAAAAAAAATGTCTTATAATACTAATTAACTTCTTATAAATATAAATACATTATTAAATAAAATAAATAAATTACTAAAATTAAATTATTTATTATAATGCAGTGATGTATGATTTTAATATAATTTATTATATTGTTATTATAATTTTATAATTATATTTTATTTAATTATAATTTAATATACATAATTTAATTTAAAATTATAATTTAATAATAATATTTTAATTATTTATAAATATTTTAATTAATGCTGGCATTTTATTCTTATATCGTAAATGAAATCTATATTAATATTTATTAATTTGAATAAAAATTTCTTTTGTATCATTATATTATTTTTTAATTTAATAAAGTTCTTTACAAAAATTTGATTATACGTATTTATCACAATTATTAAATAATATACTTATAAATATTAGTATTATTTTTTATGTTTGAACAATTTATATTACTGTGTATTTTTATTTTTTTGATATGTAAATAATATATAAAAAATTATGTAAATTTAATTATTTTATCCAGTTACTCTAAGGTCTATAAAATCATTTAATATACTTTTTGTTAACTTTCAACTTTATATTCAAATACATATTTTTAAAAATATATAAATTTTAAAATTACATATTCAAACAAAATTGCAGCTCTATTTCGATATCCCAAATAGTCTCATTTAACTATATAGCTTAGTTTTTGAGACCAACAACAGTACCATCTAACGTGTCTACTTGTTATAAACCTAATCAACATGTAAATTGCATATACTAATTGACAGTAGATGGCGTGTGTATAGTTTTTGTTTTTTAATGTAATCAATGTTAAAGGTTTATAACTTTAAACCTCGATATCTTTAAAAGTAACTCATATCGACATACCTATAACGTAGTGAAAAAATTTGCCCAATTGTACTGGCTGTAATAAAAACCAATATCACATCGGCGTACCAGAAATATCGAAATCCCGTCGGAATTCTCATAAAAGATATGTATACGTTTTCGCAAAATTTTTTTTCATGGTTTTTTTAAAACATTACATATATATATATTTATGAATATATTTTATATATTATTATATATTTTATGATTATTTATATATTATATATTTTAAATTTATATAATATAATAATTTATTATTTATATATTATATATATTAAATCTATTTAATATAATAATTTATTCTTACTTATGTACAAATAATTTGAGTTCATTAAAACTACTGTATTTATTATATTCTATAATTATATTGTTTATTTATTTATTTGTAACTTGAATTTTTATTTAGTAAAAAGTAAAAAATATTTGTAGTATATGTGATATTATTGTAAATGTACAAAAAATAGTTTATTTTACATACTGAATGTTTAAGTTACAAATAAATAAATAAATAGTAAAAGTATAGCATATAATAAATATATTAGTTTTAATTTCATCAAAATAGAATACATTTTTTTATAACTATTTTAAAAGCAAAGTTCTGCAAAATTTGCAATAATGAGATAAGAATTTTAATATATGTATGTATACATATTTGCATGTATTTATGTATATATATGTATTATTATTATATTATGTATATTATGTATGTATATTATTATATTATGTATATATATGTATTTACATTATTCAATATAAAATATAGCAAGGAAAAATAATTTTTTTTTAGTTAAATATAAAGTATCTACAAGACTCCATTTGCCGACAAATGTATATTTGTTTTTTATTGCGATTTATTATTATTATTATTTTAATTTTTATGTATGTATATTATTATATTATGTATATATATGTATTTACATTATTCAATATAATATAGCAAGGAAAAATAATTTTTTTTTAGTTAAATATAAAGTATCTATAAGTCTCCATTTGCCGACAAATGTATATTTGTTTTTTATTACGATTTATTATTATTATTATTTTAATTTTTATGTATGTATATTATTATATTATGTATATATATGTATTTACATTATTCAATATAAAATATAGCAAGGAAAAAAATTTTTTTCCGTTATATATAAAGTATCTATAAGTCTCCATTTGCCGACAAATGTATATTTGTTTTTTATTGTGATTTATTATTATTATTATTTTAATTTTTTGGCTAATTAACACAACGAAATAAAAGTTTACAATGCCCTCACCCATATTTATTAGTATGTATTTATTTATTTATTTAAAATATTGTGTGCTTAAAATGAAACAAGTATTTCAATTAACTGTCTCATGATATAGAAAAAATAAGAAAAAAAAATAAAAAAATAAAAAAAAATAATATAATGCAAAAACAATAAAATTTTGATAAATAAAATAAAAGTTTATAAGGATAAAAATGTACCTTTACTCTCTCTCTATTTGCTTCTTATTTTGGAATGAATTTTATATGCCGATGTGTGTAATAAAATTTATTTTTTCGTTGTAATTTAAAATATTTCACGCGTTTGTTTACTTTTCAGTTTACGTTGAATTTGTTTATTTGTAATTTATCTTATTTGTTTAATTAATTTTAGGCAATATTTTTCTTTTTTTTGAGTCAATAATGTGTAATATGTAATATAATTTTTTTTTTTTGAAACGCACTTCCGTTATGCCTTGAACTTGCACGAGTAAAACTTAAGTTCATTTATTTTCATATTTTTGAAATTTAAAATTTCAATTTCAAAATAAATTATGATAATATAAAAAATATCTATAAACACTTGAACATTGGGTTTATACTTTAAGTTTGTAATTTGTCAATTTTTGGCATTAAATTCTATGCCATTTTGTCAGTTAGATTTTTACGTTTATGAAATATCACAATATCATATGAAAGCGAACTCATCGATCAATCACATTCCTGATTTCACATTCTAAACTATAGTGGTTTATAGTGGTTTTTTTGCAATTAGCTTAATTAGTTAAGTAAATTAATTTCTATTTATATAAAAATTATTAAAATTTGAAATATTATATATGCATTTGAAATATTATATTCTAAATACTTCGTTACAATTACCGAACCGTGTTCTATGAGCTTAGAACTTCGACTGCGAAGAGGCTTTGCGTTAAACGCAGCACGAGACTGCGGGCGGTTGCGATATATATACGTATGCGTCGCTACTTTAGGGCTCGTTTAAGTGACGCTATGTTGACAAATTAATAATGTACTATAACTTTATATAAATATATATGTTTAAACTTTTGTAGTATTGCAATAAGTCTTAGTGATACTGATATGAACCGTATATACCGTCCTCTCTGGTTGTTGTTGTTATTGTTGTTTTTGTATTATTAATAATTCTCGACATATAATATTAAAGAAATGCCATTGTTCTCGATAAGTTTTCGCGCACGTTGTTAGCGGTCGTCTGTGCATATTCATAACTCGCATTGGGCATTAATACTATTTGGAAAATAATGATAACAAAAGTAAACAGAGAAACTATAAATTCAATTTCAGTTTTATATTTGTTTAAACAATTTTTTTTTTTTTTTGTAAATTTTAAGGTTTTGATAATCATAAATATTGCAAATATTACAGTTCATTTATTTTAACTTCAATGCCTTGGTTTGTTTTACTGATATTACACTTACGGCACGGCATAGGTCCATTAAAATTATATTCAATTTTCTAATTTTAGAAATTATGCTTTATAGTTTCATTAATAATAAATCTTCATTTGATAATATTTAATATTTATTAGTTTAAAATTACTACACTATGGTATATGTTTCAATTTTATATCAAAAAATTATAACACAAAATCATAAATTATACTATTTATTTAATTATTATTATGTTGAGGCTAGTTGAGTCAGTCCACTTGAGCATTTTTACTCTCTATTAACTGCGAGGTTTCTTCATAACCCCTCTCTACGCCTTGACTGGATTATTGTTTATCACTTCATCACTTTCTTTGCTATTCGAAAACCCTCTAAAATTTAAATATACCTTCTTTGCCACTATAAAAAAAGCGTAGCTTTATCAGCAACAACAATACATACTTTAAAAATCAGACTAAGCAATAATTGATCTCAAATCTGCATACCTCCCCGAGGAGCCTGTAACCATTCTGAGAATCGATAACGCGCTGTTAGTAAGCCTGTCAGTTTTCGTAAATAATTTCAGTGCTCTATCCTTTATGTATTTTTTGATCGGATCAATCTTGCGGTCCATGGGGATGTCATTCGTCCTATCATGGTACCTTTAAAAGTTTTTTCAGAGCCTGGCTTTGTGCAATTTATAGCTGGCGAATAGTAGTGTTTGAAGCCTTGCTAAGCGCTACACATCCATATAGAAGTGACGCTCGAATTATTTACTTATATATAATAATATGTATATTAAAATCGATATTAATGACGAATAACAATGTTATATTCAAAATGAACAACTTACAAGCAAAACAAAAATTTTATAGACGGATTCGATTAGCAAAGAAATGACAATTTAGTTAATTTAGTTAATTTAGTTAATTTATTGAAATTTGGCTGCCATACAATGCTGTTTCGAGTATTGCCAAGTATTCCTCAATAGTAGTCTTAGGAAATAATTGAATTTCTTAATTAGTTTATAGACCGTATAAAGAATACGTAGCTTTTTCAGTAACACTAATACTTACTTCAATAAAAAAATTATATTTATATATGTATATGTAGATGTAGGTGTGCATTAAAGTGTATCTCTAATTTTTTTTCTTGTTAAAATGATAATTCCATTAAAACCGATGCCGATAAATATTAGAAAATATAATATTACTGTTCAGGAATATCGCAAGTGTCTCGAAGTTGGGAAAATACAGTTCTCCCTTTAAGCTTTGTAGTAAAAAAATTCTAAAAATTTTCTTCATGAATAAGTAATTCAAATGAGATCATTTATATTTATATGTATATGTAGACGTGCATTAAAGTGTATCTCTAATATTTTTTCTTGTTAAAATGATAATTTCATTAAAACCGATGCCGATAAATATTAGAAAATATTACTGTTCAGGAATATCGCAAGTCTCTCGAAGTTGACCCTTTAAGCTTTGTAGTAGAAAAAATTCTAAAAATTTTCTTCATGAATAAGTAATTCAAATGAGATCATTTATATTTATATGTATATGTAGACGTGCATTAAAGTGTATCTCTAATATTTTTTCTTGTTAAAATGATAATTCCATTAAAACCGATGCCGATAAATATTAGAAAATATTACTGTTCAGGAATATCGCAAGTCTCTCGAAATCGAGAAAATACAGTTCTCCCTCTAAGCTTTGTAGCAGAAAAAATTCTAAAAATTTTCTTTATGAATAAGTAATTCAAATGAGATCATAATACTTATGAATTTGTACGGGCTTAGGTGAGCAAATTATATAAAGAACTTAAAACATGAAATAAACGTTTTAATATTTTATATTGAATATTGCCGACATTAGAAGTGTTTTCAACTTCTTCCTCAGGACTGCATGTTTTATGAACTGGGACTATAAGCTAAATGTTGACATATGATAGGTTGATAAATATCTGACTTCAAAACAGGAGGTAACGCCAGAGCAAAAACAATTATTTTTTCTTTATCTGGTAAGTTTTAAACGACAGTGTAAAAGTTTTGACTGCATCAGATGTTTAAGTAGCTTTGATTGCAATTGAAATAGTGCACCTTGATGATTTTTAATCAAATAAAAAAATTGAATAACGTTCAGTAATAAAATTCCTCCAATAAGTAATTATTGATTATTGAAAATATAATTGATTTTGTTCTGGCGTTGTCACCTGTTGTTAAGTCAAGTATTTATAAATTCACTCAGTAAAAACCTAACTATAAACAATAAAAAAATTCAAAATTTAAAAAAATTAATTAATTAATAATTAATAATAATAAATAAAGAGACCTGTGAACGTGAACTCCAATAATATATAAATATTATTAAATTGATAAGGAAAACCTTCAAAACGAATTGTTATATCATTTGCAAGAAAAAAAACGAACCACAAAATTAAACCAAGTTTCAAAAGCGGAAACTATTGGAAATTCATTGCTTCATAGGACTTATTTTTATTATGAAATTTAATGAGATATCACTTAGGACCTTAGGAGATATCACATACATGACTGCGCCTAACCATACAACAACAATTCTTAGATATTTAAGTGTACTTGTTATTATTGAAATATGTATCAATCATATGTATATAAATAATTTTAGTATGATTTTAGATTTTAGTCTATCTTAAAAGGTTTATAAGATAAAATATTCGCACTTGAAATTACCCTTTTTCTACCAATTTTTTTAATTTTTCAAAAAACCGCGCTAAATTCAACTTATTCAAAATCCTTTTCTAAACTTAAATATTTCCTATAAACTATTTGAAATATGTTAAGAATAGTTTAAAATGAAATTTAAAAGAAAATATATGTATATATCTTCAGTATTAAGACAGATATGGAGTGTTTCAGTGATCTCAGCAACACAAACCAATATACATATATTGTACATCTATATTTGTGAATTTTTAAATTCATAATTTAAGGTTAAGTTTATACCTTTGGTATAAGCTAATTCTTCATTTACATAATAAATATAGTATATTTTATAAAAACACACAAATTTCTTTCCGAAAGTCTTTTTTCAAAATTTATTTGTTTATTTTATTTATTTGTTGTTGAGACAATATTTTCTATAATAAAAGTAAAAAAACATATTTCTTTACAAATTTTAGACAGTTGTTATCTATCGATATTAATTCTTAAGATAAAAAATTGTTTGAAGTTATTAAACAATTTTTATTATTATATTATATTATATTTTTATTTTATTTATTTTATGGCATAATCAATAATTGGGTGTCAGTTAAGTCAAAGTATAAATACTTTCATATACCTAGAGTAATCGAGTTCACTTAGATAAGAGGAAAGTTCTTCAGGTTAAAACCATATATTTGGTAACAATTCCAAAATGCGGACAACTATGCACCCAGGACAGCAACAAATGAAGGCAGATCCTGAAGAAAGTAGACTGTAGCATTAAAGTAGACTGTAGTGCAAAAGAAAAAAAAAGTGGAAGAACAGTCATGTGTTACTTATAAATACTTTATATTCAGTGTTACTGGGAATGCTAGTGACATATGGTATACTAATGACGTTTTCCATTGGTAAATCTGGAGTCAATTAATTAATTAATTAATTAAATATTTTTAAAGTAATCTAAAATTATTGTAGTTGTGTTAGTAGATATTTATATTTTTGATAAATATATATATATATATCATATCACACTTTATTTGTCGTCATATAAAATGGCTGTTAATCTCAGGGTAATTTTTCTTCACTGGCAAAACGTCTGGGATGTTATAAATTAATATTGACTGTTATACATTAATCTCAAGTGTTATACAGATTTATCAATGGAAAATAGAAATTGCATATCTATTAAAAAGTTTCCCCAGATTTATCAATCGAAAACGACAAAAATGTTAATAAAGAAGGATACGGACTTTATAAGTGTAGTTATTCCATAGCCAAAGTCTTAACAAATCTATTAAGA